AAATGTTACGGGAGCTACTAACGCGGGAAAAAGCAACATAGAGTTGCGCATAACACAAGCTGGCTGGGAACAGAACACGCTTAAAACTGAAAGGAAAGTTATTTGATATAAGATGGATTCTTGGTATAAAACAACATCATGACATTTTGTTTTTGTTGCAATTTTGTTACGTTTACCTTGAGCCTTGGGTGTACGTATCTTTTTTCTGGTTTCTGTTTCTGATGATGTTTGTACTGTTAGCCTACACCCTACACGGCTCTTTTAGCTTCAATGGCCTCGTTAACGTAAATTACTTCAGTGAGTCTCAATACGATTCACCGATGAAAAATATTAACACCGCAATTCAGAAAAAGTTGTAATTTGTACAACGCCATCTATTACGTTCTTTGTGAGAAAACATCCTTTTTTAATTTAAGGAAAACATATTTTTTTGTTTACTGTGTTTTAAATATAAATATATTATAATAGAACGTTTTTTTTACACAAGAATCATTTTATTAGTATTTCTGAGATTTTATGGCGCCTTTAAACAAATCGAACCTACATTTCAAAATAATAATTATAACTTTCGATAGAATTAACCAATTTTAATAAAACAAAGATTAAAGGAACTAGAAGATACGCGTTATGATTTTCTTGACGATTTTTTTGAAAAACAAGATGTTTGCTTAAGACGTTTACGTAAGGCGTTCATAAACAAACAGACGGACAGACAGATAGACAATTCCAAAAATTATAAAAATGTACTTATTTAATGAATTTCAGTCTCCATAATGATTTTAGTCACAAACTAATATACTATACAATGTACAGAAACAGACACAGCATGTTATCACCGCATGTATAGAGATTTAAAGATAGATGGCGCTGTTAAAATCAATTCTAAAAATAAAAGAGATTAATTGACGCGATTGATACAATAAAAAAAAAACATAAAAGAACTTCATAATCAGGCCTGCATAGTAAGCAAAAAGAAAGTTTGATCCTCGCCGAAACCAAAGAAATTTTTAATAGCTCTTTTAAAATTTGATTTACCACGTAGAGTACTCGGCGGTAAAGAATAAATGAGATTGTCAACACACAGTTAGGGCAGCGAGTAATATAAAGATTAACAGCAAATATGAAAACTCATCTACAGGAAAAAACCACAAACTGCCTTTTTGTATTACATTTGAGCAACACCACCATCTATCGATGAAGTAGGTTAACTATTGTACTTTAGATTTAGATAATAAGGTTAATATATTTTTTTATATATTTATTACGTTATTTATGTAATACTTTTGTTTACTGCGTTTTAGATATAATTATATCATTATAGAACATTATTTTACATCATTTAATTATGATTTATAATATGATATTAGTTGAAAATGTACTTGATGACTCAATGAACGCCACCATTGAACAAATTCATACCTATACTTCGTAGCCATACTTCAGAATATTTATCATAACTTTTGATGGAATAAACTAATTTTAATGAAATAAAGACTAAATGTAACCTGAAGATACACTTTATAATTTATTTAACGATTCTTATGATATAAATTGGTACTTAATACGTGATACGTTAACAAACAAACAGACAAACAGACAGACAGAAAATTCTAAAAATGGTAGAAATGTATTTAATTACTTATTTTTAGTACCTCTCAATCACTTTTATTATATAAATCTAAAATGTACAGACATTGGCTATTTACATTTTTATTATATATATATATATATATATATATATATATATATATATATATATATATATATATATATGTATGTATAATCGTGAGTTATAAAGTTTTATCATAGATGGTTATACGATGAAAAAAAAATTGAAAACAGCACATATATTCTTTTGAAGCTGCTGTTGTTGCTTAGTGTTTAGTTGATTAATACAACATTTTAGAATATATTGAAATTGATACGAATTCGATACTTTTAAAATAATTATCGATATATCACTTAGTGTACGTTAAACATCGATAGACTATCGATGGTATCGATAGTAAATGGCTATCGATACTATCGATAAGTTTTAAAACTATCGATCGATTGCTTACTCGAGTACTACTTTTACATCCTTAGGGTCGAGACATCCATGTATGTAGGTTATTCCCCGGCCATAGTGACAAAGGCGTAGACATTGAGATTGTTGTCTATGGTAGGGGGAATTGCCGTGCGTATATCATTCATTTACAAGACAAAAGTAAGTCAGTCAGTTTTTTTATTGTGGATGTTTGAAGTTGAGTGGAGTAACAAACAATTTAACTAATTAAACAATAAAACATGAGTAGTAAGTCACGTGCGTGGGATTACTTCAAAAAGACTAATGAAAAATTTGCCGAGGTATGGATATGGTCATCTACTGTTTCTGTTACTCAAGACGTTGATACCACTGAGCAAAATAAGCCAATGGGCCCGAGCCTTAAAAAGAGAAACACGCAAAAAAGTTATTTTTACAGATGGGAAAACAAAGCAAAATTTGGATAACAAATACGTGCGCATGATTGCTGTTGACATGGAACCTTTGCGAAAAGGAAAACATGAAGGATTTCGGGATTTTTTAAATGCTCTCGATAGTAGATATGAAATTCCTGATACAACAATATTGAATATTATTACGGAATTTAATACGGAATATTATGAAAACGTTAAACAGAAGCTCGTCTTAGGATTATCGAAAGCCGAACATGTTAGTCTGACTACTGATTTATGGACATCAATTGCAAATGAAGGCATCCTTTCAGTTACTTTTCATTTCTTTCACAACGAAAAATTAATTGCACCATTATTGGAAGTCGTGAAGATGGAAGAAAGTCACAACGCAGAAAATATAGCCAGTACAAGTACTTTTAAATTTCATTGTCTTGATACCTACCAATTCGGTGTTTCTTTATAATCAGGCATAAACAATATTATTATTGTTTTCAGGTGTTGGATGCAACTCTCTCAAAATGGAGTATCAGGTCAAAATATAAAGCAATAACGACTGATAACGCTCAAACAATAATTAACTCCGCAGCCAAACTGCAAATACGACATATACCCTGCTTCGCGCACACACTAAACCTGACGGTGACTGATTCTTTTACTGTGACCTGCTTAGACTAGATTCTGAAAAAATGTAAATCGATTGTGACATTTTTCAAGATGAGTATTCTAGCTAGCGATAAATTACGGGCTATTCAACGTGAATTAAATAAAGCAGAACTGAAATTGATCAAGGAAGTACCCACCCGCTGGAACAGTGCATACCACATGCTGCAAATACTTGTTACAATGAAGACAGAATTAACTCTCGCACTAAATGAAGGTAATCGGGCTCCACCAGGAGTCAATGCTGACGAATACCTAATTATTCAAGAGACAATTCAGATTCTGGAACCTTTCGATCTAGCTACGACAAAAATTTCTGGAGAAAGCTATATAATATTGTCACTGAAAATACCATTGGTTCGTGGAATAAAAACGAACTTAGTAGAAGATGAATCTCAGTTTCTGAAAGCGGAAAGAAAATATTACTCTGCGTTAAGGGATCAGGTGCCAAAAGACTAAGTCCCTATGAAAACAGGACACTTGTTGTACTTGCTACAATATTGAACCCCCGATTTAAGAAGAAGGGGTTCAAAACAAGTGACAACGAGAAGCGAGCTGGTCAGTGGCTGGAAAAGGCCTATGTTAGTCATTTAACTAAAGAACGCTTGGCTGTAGAAGAAACGCAACCAACACCATCCACGTTATAGTTATACATCGTAGAAAGTTATACATCGAGACGTGACGTGGTTCTCGCCGCCAAAGTTAAGTGGGTACGACTTTCCATTGACGTCCGTCGAGTTTGGTGTTGATACGTATTTTTACAGAAAGATTACATTTTTATAAGCACACACACAAAGTTTCAATATGCGGAAACATGTACTTTTTGAGAGAAAAGTATTGAAAATCAAATATTTTTGCAATATTTATGTCAATTCCTACCTACTATGAAACTGACACCATTTTTTATTATTATTGTCAGTAGGGATGTCGATTCTTTCCGAAAAAGTTCGAGTTTTTAAATAGATTCGAATTGTAAGCTGATGTATCGATTCCCAAAAAATCGATTTCTAAAATATCTATATTTTTTTCATGTTTGCAGTTATAATGTAAATATAAAGCCATTTTATGAGAAAAAAATTCACTTTATTATTATTAGACATAAACATTGCAAGAATAATTTATTTTCAATAATTCTTTTCTCAAAAATTACGCGTTTCCGCGTGTTGAAACTTTGTGTGTGTGCTTATAATAGTGTAACTTTTCTGTAATGCGTATCAATACCCAACTCGACGGACTTCAATGGAAAGCTAAGCCGTTAAGTGTCCTTCCTTCAAAGCTATTTTCCTTTAAATATCCAATAATCTTACTTATTCAGAATAGTACTCCATTTGTGTAAATAAAGTGTTCTTTAGGCTATTTACACCCTCATTCTTAAATTAAATGCAATTTTGTTCTTGCATCATATTTTATAACTACCTTACATTACAAAAGAAAAAAGTGAACAAAGGAATTGGTTACTTTTTTGGCTAACATTACTTAGAATTCCATTAAATTTAACAAATAAATGATTAAATTAGTTTAATTAAATTACGATTCACAAGTTTAGCCAGCACAAATTCTTGTTTTTAAAGTAAAAGTTAACAAAAAATACAAAGTTTTTTAGCGGTAGGTTCCTTGTTCTTTATCGATTATCTACAAAATATTTAGCGTATTTGCCGACTATTCCAGGTTATATAAGTAATTATCATCGCGGAGCACTGCTCGCTGTTAGTCGCTATTGCGTCGGCACCGACCGAGAGCGATCCGCTGAGCGTGCGCAGCCGGCTTTCTTGTACAGCACGCAAGTACCGCCAGAACGAGGAACGTTAACCATTATTATTTACTATTCTAAAAGTTGCATTGCTATTTAAATAATAAGTATTTAAAACTTATTTGAAGATAACAATTAAAGTTAATTATTAAAAATGACTTCATCAGCAGAAATTAATAAAACACGATTACGTGAATTAACTACAAAAAGAGTATCCGCAAAAGGGCAAATAACTAAATTTAAAAATTATTTAAATAGCGTTAGCAGTAAAACGGATTTATACAATGTGCAATTTACCGAGTTAAGTTTAAAACTCGCCAAATTTGAAGCGTTATTCGTTAAGATTGATGATTTGCAGAGTGAAATAGAGGTTTTAAATTATGAAAATATTTCGGCTGAAGTTGAAGAGCGCGACAATATTGAGCAAGAGATAATAATAAACATCGCCAAAGCCAAAACTTTAGTTGAAAGATTTTCTAAACAATTAGAATGTGAAAAAAGGCGCAACTCCCTGCACAACGCCTCATGTTGCGTGGATCATCCTGGTTGCCGTGAAGCAGGTTTGAATTTACCTCAAATTCAAATTACCAAATTTGATGGTTCCTATTTCCGGTGGCTGGAGTTTCGGGACACTTTTGAGAACTTCATACATAAAAATGATCGCATTTCAGATATTCATAAGTTTCATTATCTCGTGTCTTATTTGCAAGGTGAAGCGGCCAGAATAATTTCTAACTTAGAAGTGTCAACGAAGAATTATTCTGAGGCATGGAATATGATTTGCTATAGATATGATAATAAAAGAATATTAGTTAATCATCACCTAAACGCATTGTTTAATATAAAACAATTACCACGCGAATCGGAACGGTCTTTGAGATTTATGGTCGATCACATAACTAAGAACTTACACGCCTTGTCTAGCCTAGGACAACCCACTGATAAATGGGACGTGCTTATAATATTCATGTCAGCATCGAAGCTAGACAGTTCTACATTATTAAAATGGCAGGAATATCGCAATACATTAACGAGTGATGTACCGTCTTTGGAACAATTTTATAAATTTCTGATTGATCGTGCCGATGTACTAGAGTCAATGAGTCGTAACAATAGGACCGATACAAAAAACATTTCAAAATCGCCTTCTGGCAATATTCGTCATACAGCTAATAACAATTATAATTACGCTCAAAGGTTTCATCAAAACAATAATACCATAAAGACATTTGCAAGCACAAGCAATAATTACAGTAAAAAGTCAAACATATTTACATGCATTATTTGTAACGAGTGTCATAGAATCTACGATTGGCCCACATTTAGGGCTAAGGGGATTGACGAGCGAATGATGGACGTAACGAAGTATAAATTGTGTGTCAATTGCCTAAGGCAGGGTCACCCTGAAAGCGAGTGTCGCATGGGGCCTTGTCGTGAGCGCGACTGCAAAGAGCGCCACAACAGTCTGCTCCACCGTCCGTCTTCCTCTTGTCATAAGCAAATCGATTTCTTTTATTTATCTCAGACCTACTCAAAAATTCCGAAACAATTGCTACGAGACAATGCCAATTTTATTATAATATTTAAACAAGATGATGTGAACTTAAAACATATTTATGAAGAACAAGTTAGTTCTAATATGTCATGGAATCAATTTGAAAATATTTTTAATATAGTTTGGAGTAAGCCGTATAATTTTGTTTGTATTAACAAAGACTCACCGTTAAACAATGGCAGGTATAGAAAGAATTTTGATATTTTTTTAACCTAGAGTAAACTATTATAAACGGGTTTTTAGACAAACTATTTAGTTTTATTGTAGCAGCGATAGAATGAAGTATTGTAAAGCGTCATGGAAAAGCAAATTAAAATGGAATTAATGAAGTCTGTGGACTCCATAAAGAATAAAATAAAAAAATGAAAAATAATGAGCATGAACTGAACTTATCCCTAGATAAAATGCTAAAACCTGTTACAGAGGCTCTTAAAATCATAGTAAATAAGCAAAAACCAAATCAAGACCATAATTTATCGATGCAATCATGCGCAAGTTCTGCTGGATCATTTGAATCGGAATTTCAGAACTATTACAATGCTGACTTGAGTTCTGCAGAATCCCCAAAAAATGAAATTAAAGACAATTTAGAGGCTTCTTTATATCGGAATTATATCTATGATATTTACGATGATAAATTAAATATACCATTTGGGATAAGAAAAAAAAAGAAAACTTACATGATGGGAAATTCAGAAGTTACATTTTCTAAAATTGACAGTTTGGATAACGAAACTGTATTTTTCTTACAATTTAACTATCGGGTTAAGAGAACTTCTACTTAGAAAAAAACCTGATTTGAATTTAGTATCAAGCGCTGATAAACTCGTGTACAAAGATATTCTACACAATACTAACGCTCATAAGAGAGATTTTAACCCTAGAGGTCAAATAAGAGGTGATAAGGGAATTAAATATCGAAAAATAATTAAACCATTATTTTTCGAGACTTTAATCAAATATAAAAAAATCGAAGAAAAGCTTGGAGGTAATTTACCTAAGCTTAAGAAATATAAAATCAACACTGATATTGTATATTGGGACGATCCAAATGAATTAGTTGATAGATTAAAACTTTTAATAGCTTCAAGAGATGCGGGCAATACAAATCATGATAATGAAATTTTATCGATAATTGAAAAATTAAAAGAAGATAACATTATAAAGGAATAAAATACTAATTATTACTAGCTTTTACTCAGTATTGGTGAAGTTGCTCATGTTGCGAATTACTAAAAAATTGTCTGTATTTATTTAAGTAACAAGCAGCATAAACGAATTATTTTTAATAATAATAATAATAATAAATTCTTTATTTCAGATAATTGAAATCCATATGTGGGTTAGTAACACAATAATAATAACAAGGGTTAGTTACAGTGGTAGTACAATTGTTTGCTTAAATTCTAGGGAAATAAAATAACTACACTGTGCCGAGACAGATCATCATGGGGGTGGATAGGGCCCAGTAATCAGTCTCTGCACAAGACATTTCTACAGCGGCGATGTATATCTATCAGTTACGGTACTCAGAATAACTACCAACTTTAATAACTACCAACATAAGAATAAAATAAAATACATTATTTTTTTGAACATGAGTAAAGCCGATGTAGTAAATGAAATTCATAGAAATGCTTGGGTGAATTTCCCACGTAGAAATGTTATTACGAAAGATATAGATGATTTATGGCAAGCAGACTTAATTGATATGCAATCAGTTTCTAAGGAAAACAAAAACTTCGGATTTATTCCTAGCTTTATTGATACATTTTCGAAATAGGCTTGGGCTTTTCCAATTAAGACTAAAAGTAAAGAGGACGTATGCTATAATTTTATGAAGCTCCTAAAAACACGTGTACCCAAAAAGCTGTAAACCGACAATGGAACAGAATTTTATAACGATAAGTTAAAAAAAATTATGAATTCTTATAATATTAATCATTACTCAACCTTTTGAACAAAAAGGGCTTCCATAGTTGAACGATTAGAACGACGAGTATAACTGGATAGGCGATACTCTTAATAATGTTATTTACGAATACAATCACACTTATCATCGAACTATTAGTGAAATTCCAGCCAATGTTAATAATAAAAGTAAAAAACGAATACTACAGAGATACCTTAGTTTGGTGAAGAATGATAATATAAAACGTAAGTTGAAAGTAGGTGATTATGTGCGTATAAGCAAATACAAAGGTACATTCGAAAAAAGATATACTCCAAATTGGTCGACAGAAATATTTAAAATTCGAAAATTACAGAACACAATTCCAACTACTTACTTAATTGAAGATACAATTAGAGGTCAACCGATTTTAGGAGGATTTTATGCGCAAGAGCTACAAAAGACCAAAAATTCAAACATCTATTTAGTCGAAAAAGTTTTAAGAAGGAAAGGAAATAAAGTTTTAGTAAAATGGCTAGGTTTGTCTTCTACTGCAAACAGTTGGATCGATAAGTCTAATAAACTTACTGACCACTGTGTTAACATTAAGAACAAATAAGAAAAATGGTATATTTAATAAATATCCCAAGCGCGATTAAACAGTCTTATGATGGGCATTGGTGAGAGTAGTCTTCTCAATTGGTTGATTAACAATTTACCATTTGAATTACATTTACCGGGATACAATTATTGTGATCCTGGTACAAATTTAATCAAAAAACTATCACGTGGAGTCAAAGGTATAAACAAATTTGACGAATATTGTAAAGAACACGACATTGCGTATCACAAATATTCAAACTTAAAGGATTGACATAAGGCGGATTTAGTTTTGTTAAAAATAGCAAAAACACGAGAGATTGCTCCCGACGCAAATTTGGGAGAAAAGTTAGCAGCAAAGATAGTAAGCAAAGCTATGCAATCAAAAATTAAAACTGGGGCTGGACTAAATAATGGCAATAGTAATAAAATGTCTCCGAGAAAGTTGGGGAATGAATTTAAAAATAAGCTTAAGGATATTATTACAAAAACGAAAAGACGTATGCAAAAATTAAAACCAAAATGCAAGAAAAGAGCAATTGAGCAAGCTATAGCTGCTGCTAGAGAACTAGTTGATAATTCTGTTATAAAACTTCCTCGCATTATTCCTATACCAAAAACTGGTGGGGTACCTTTGATTCCGATTTTTGCCGGATTATCGGCTACGGGAGCCTTAGCAGGTGGTGTAGCTGGTATACTTAAAACTATAAATGAAATCAAAATAGCTAAAAAACAATTTGCTGAATTGAAGAGACACTCATAAAAATGGATTTGGCATTTTTGTATCTAAAGAAATAAAAAACTAGAATATAGGCTACCCAAACGTGCCTTAACTAACATTGACATTTTAAAGTATGGAAAAAATATTCCCCATTTTCGAGGTGTCTTTATGAGAGATGAGCTCCCAACACACCCTTTTAAAAAAGAATGGGGAGTTATAAATTTAGATATTTTCTCAAATCCGGGATCTCATTGGGTAGCCTATGTAAAATTTAATATGTTGAATATTTCGACAGTTATAGAACCTCCAATGGAATTGATAAAATATTTAGGTCCTAAAGTCCTCTATAATTATGATAACATACAGCGTGATCATCCTTTTAATTGTGGACATTTTTTTGTTTGATTTTTTTGGAGAATTTTTGGCACAATAAAGACAAAAAAATAAACAAGAATTTCATAAATTGCTCAGTATACAAGCATGTCTATAACAGTTACTATCTCAGGAAATAAATCAAAATTGGATTCCTACTTTCAACCGCCTCTGAGTTTATCAGGTCAATGCGAGTGCGGTTTACTATATTTTTCAGTAATAAACTCAACAACAAAATATTCTTATGTTGATAGCAAGTTGCCATCTGTGATCAGAATCGAATGTGATCTCATATACGGCTCATATTGCAACGGGTTATCTACTCATATTATTCACGAATTTGTATCTAAAAGTACTGCAGATAATCAATACATAGAAATACCTCAGACCGTTATTTACTTCCCAGTGAATAAAAATAATATTACATCTATAACTCGATCCCCCCGCGCCGTCAAGTTGTATAGACGCAGTTCATATCACTCCGTTTTAAAAATTCCGAAAAACGCTCTAAAGTGCACATTTTAACGTAAAAGTGATATATATGTGTAAAGTGAACTGAAAAGTGCATTAAAAGTTGCTTTTACTAACTTTTCGTATCATTAATAACTAAAATACAGTGTGTGGAATTTGGAACTAGCTACAGTGTTATCAACTTAATTGACTTTGACTTGCCCACATTAAAATTATTTCTTACATCGCCTGTAAAAATAAAATAGCAATACGAATCATAAATATTAAGCGCCTAGTTGATTATTTGCTGCAATAATACCATTACGACTTTTACCTGTTTTATTACATACATACATACATATAATCACGCCTCTTTCCCGTGGGGGTAGGCAGAGACCAGTTCTTTCCACTTGCTACGATCCTTACATACTTGTTTTGCTTCGTCCACTTTCATTATTCCCTTCATACATGCTCTACGGTTTAGGGTACTCTTGACCTGGCCTTTTTTCAAGACGTCCCTGATTTGGTCTAGAAATGTCCGCCTAGGTCTACCCCTTCCAACACTTTCATTCACACTCGCCTTATACACTTTTTTCGTCAATCGTTCTTCATTCATTCTCTCGACATGGCCAAACCATCTCAGCATACCTTTCTCAATTTTTGTCACTACATCTTCTTTCAGACCACAACGTTTCCTTATCTCACTATTTCTTAGCCTGTCACTCAGTTTAACTCCTATCATACTTCTTAATGCTCTCATCTCAACTGCATTTATTCTGCTTTCATGTTTCTTCTGCCATACCCAACTTTCACTTCCGTACATGAGTGTCGGAACCAACAACCCCTCATGCACAGCCAAACGAGCCTTGTTAGACACCTTCCGACTGCTCATAAAGGAGTGCAAAGCTCCATTCACCATGTTTCCTGCATTCACTCTTCTTTCGATATCACTCTCACACTTTCCTGTTTTATTACTTAAGGATTGAAGTATTATCCTTTTGTATATCCAAAAATGCCTCTGAAAAGAACGCCCCCAACGACACCTATCTTTATTGTGAACACCTCTCAATCCCTTTGTCAATCAGAACCAAACTTAAATACAACAGATGACACAGAACTCGAAATAACTTACGTTGCCCAGCGTAATAAAAGGAGAAGAGAGGAAGTAGATGAAAATTCTGATATTTCGACTTTCAAAAATGAAATACTGAGCATGTTTATGGACTTAAAATTTACAATGAAGGAAATAAAAGAACAGAACATTAGACTGCAAGAATCAGTGGACTTTACATCAAAGAAATATGATGAAATTACAGATAAGATGCAAAAGATGGAAGAAAATATAAAAGAAGATAAGAATTATATTCTCTTATTGGAAGCTAAAATAGATCAGCTAGAACGCCAAACTCGCTACAGTAGCCTGGAAATTCGAAATGTACCCAAAAATAATGATGAAACCAAAAAAGATTTGATAAATCTAATTCTTAAAACAGGTACAGTTATTAATACCCCAATTCAATACCATCTGATATAAAAGACGTCTTTCGTACAAATTCTAAGACCACGAATAAGCCTGTAATTGTTGAATTTACATCAAATATAGTCAAAGAGAGTTTCCTCAAATCAGTTAAAACCTTCAATAAAGAAAATAAGTACAACAAACTGAGCACTGAACATCTGGGAATTGGAGGGCCCAAGACTCCAATTTACATTTCGGAAAATCTCAGCACTAAAACCAGAAGATTATTCTACTTGGCTAGAGAATTTGCTACTCAAGAAAAAATTAAATTCTGCTGGACAACATATGGAAGGGTATGTCTACGCAGAGAAGAGGGCTCGCCAACAATACGTATAGAATCGGAATCGGATTTTTTAAAATTAAAAACACAAAAATGACTAGATTTTCACTATCGATGTAACTTGAAAATAAGTAACTTTCTATTTTATTATTTTTACCGAACTTACTTTTATAATTATTCTTATTATATAATTTTCCTGTTAGTCATAAGTAACACATATAACACAATAAAAAACATTTACACACACATAATTCATACAATAACTATCACAAAAGCAACACTTACACAGAACAATTTCACACCTAAAACCAACACAAATACACGTTCTTTTATTCACATAAATACGTCTGTTAGAAAAATAATAACTTATTACAACTCAATTGAAATAATATGTCAATATATGCCATATATTCAAGGATATCCCCAAGCATCACTGAAAATAAGTCATAAAAAAATAAATACTTTTAAAATTCAATCTTCCTAGTGAAACTATCATTAATGAGATTGACCTAGTAAATGAGGTAAGGTGTATGAGCTTGTCAAGTCCTACTGAGCTAGTCAAGTACCTTTGTAGGGATGTAAAAAACTTTGATCATAAAAACTTGTCTTCCTTTTGTGTATTATGTGTTAATATAAGAAGTCTCAATTGTAATTTAGACGCTTTTCTAGTTTTCATGTCACAATTGAATATTAATATAGACATTGTAGTTTTTACTGAATGTTGGTTAAAAGATGATTCCATAATACCGGAAATAGACACCTACACATCATACTATACTAAACGTTTATTTAACCAGAATGACGGTGTGGTAGCATACGTTAAAAATAACATAAACGTCACATCATATGAACCATTAGTCGATGATGGCAATGTGCTAATACTCACTGTTGATACAGATACCACCGTTATCTGTACATATAGACCACCAAGTTTTCGCAATCCAACGCAGTATATCACATCACTTGATAAAATACTTCATAGCATAAACACAAGTATCGTAGTCTTAACTGGAGATCTAAACTTAGATGTTATGCCTTGTACTATAAAAGGATATTCTGCCAAATACCTCAATATGCTCTCTATGCATGGCTTAAAACAATGCGTTTATCTTCCAACAAGGAAGGAAGCGTGCTTAGATCATTTTATGGTACGAGCCCAACATGGGATTACATCTATTGTTTTCGATGAATTTACTGACCATCACCCTATTTTATTACTTATTGACAGAGTAAAAATTAGTAAAAATAAATCAAAATTTTATAAAGTAAAAACTGACTTTGACAAAATAACTGTAGGTATGAATGAGCTTAACTGGGAAGAATATTATAGAATCGACAATGTCAATGATGCTGCAGAGTATATTGTAAATATTATAAAAGATTTAATACAAGTTAATACAACCAGAATAACTATATCTAAAAGAAATAAGCCATTAAAACCCTGGATAACACCAGGAGTTGTAAAATCGATAAGAAAAAGGGACAAATTACATAAACAACTAAAAAAGGAAAATAATAATGAAGATTTAGCATCACACTATAGGAAATACAGAAACACATGTAACGACATAATAAAAAAGTTAAAAAGACAGTATTACGAACAAGAACTTATTACCAGTACTGGAAACGTTAGAAAGACATGGAAGATAGTTAAAGAAGTTTGTAATCTAAGCCAAT